GTGTGAATATGCTAACCGTCCGGACGTTCCACTGTGTCAGTGACACCGGTGTTTCTCCGTCTCGCCTGTGTTGCCCCGTGTGAGAATCGAAACTGGTCTCCCTTTTCCTCCTGTAGCTTATCGCGACCCGAGAGTGGAATCGAGACCCTCCAAAGAAACGTAGTAGGCCGTCTTAACGTTCCCGGCGATGTCTCGCACGCTCGAGAGCCCACTCGACTAATAACCCGGCGGATGGCCATGCCAATCCAAGCATAGAGACGGGCTTGTTGGCGTTTATTATCGTCCGAGCTATAGGTGCGGTCGTAACGGATCGGATCGAGGAAATGACCGGGGCCATCTGCCTGGATTTAGAACCGCCGTTCTGCTGCAGTTCCCTCGAATCACTGCTGCCGGCCAGACGTCGTCGTAGATGGTATCGAACATCTAGGCCTATTTATTAAGCTTACCCGAGAACTACCGCGGCGAATGCGCTGCTAATGAACGTGTGGGTTTTCTGCATATGGTCGTGGGACAGGATGTGGAATGAGATTTTTTTTCATGGCAGGGGGCGTCGACAGGGTGTTCAGAATAATGCCCCGGCGATAAGGCAATCCAATGGCAGGCAGCTGTTACAATTGCGTCTAAACAAAACAATAGAGGAATATTAGTGCAGTCTCGCTGTCACCCAAGCGCAAAGTCATTGTGAATCACGAGAGACGAGTGCGTGCTTTTGTTCCCCGACCGAGAGGAAGGATTTGGAATCGAGAGCAACGCCGCGACTGCGTCCCAATTAGACAAGGACTCCGCGGGGATTGTGCAACCCTGCATTCCTCAGACTGTCGCTGTTCCCCTCCCCCTCTCCCCCCCCCCCCCACATGACTCATGGCGGATGAGGCACAACCCTGCATTCCTCAGACTGTCGCTGTTCCCCCCCCCCCCCCCCCCCCCCCCCCCCACATGACTCATGGCGGATGAGGCAGGCGGGGAGAATGTCCAAATTTTGGATACCTCGCCAGAGCCGTCGAGGATGGAGTCAAGGCCAGGGAAAGCGTTACAGATACACCCGGTCCATCTGGCCGTTTATGGCCGGTCTTATTGGATGACTCACGAGTAATTGGACCCGAGGGATCGTGCGCAGAAACATTTTTGCTCCACTCTTTAATGCGATTATCTGTCGATCCCGTAAGCCAGCTCTGACGAAATACCACGAAGAGAACCATTACAGATGGAAGTGCAAACAACCCCCAAAATTTTGCGCGTCTATATGTTAACGAGGCCTACTTTCTTTGAACCACCCTGTGAGTCTGTATCCGGGTTTGTTGTCTTATCGCACCGAGACACGAAAATCCTCCACGTCTCCGTGAGGAGAGGATGGAACTTCCCGTCCGATTATCGCGTACGGTCACGTTCCTAACACATCCTATGGATGCTCTTTCACGTCTCAAAATACCAGAACCGAGCCGAAGCCCCCTCTTTCATGGAGTGCATACGTCGACCCGCGCACGGACCGGTTTCTTGTCTCTCATCTCCAGACGAGACTCGTGCGACGACATTTTTATACCAGAGGCAACGAAATTCATGACCCTGGACTTGAAAGGCACGTCTGGGAGATTCATGCAGACCGCCTCCTGACCCCTGTCCTCCCTCCCGCTCTCGTTCCTCCCTCCTGCCCTCTTCCCCCACCCGTTTTTGCACGGACGGGGTTCACGCCGGGACAGGTGCGTGAGACGGGGGGGAAGAGGTCGACGGCTGGCAGATGCAGAGAAAGGCACGATAATGGACCCAGGTTCATGTCTGGAATGAGAATGACCCGGGTCTCGTCCCCTCCTGCAATGACTCACACTTCTCCCATTGTCCCCGCTTTCTAAAACGTCTCCCACCCCCGTTTAAGTCCGATATGGCTTTCCATCTCGTCGACAATGCCCCGGGATAAATCACCGGACGAAGACAAATTCCTTAAAACTTCTGCCATCCCCGCAGTCAAACCAGGTCGGAGAATTCGCGAAATGCATTTCATCATCGAGCGAGGGTGTTGTGGCAACACGGCACGAGAGTTGATGATTTCTCTCACGTACACGCGATCCAGCTGGCACTCGCCCCGCCGCCGCATCGCCTCTCTGCCTCCTCTCGCCTGCGATCCGGACGCACTGAAGTGAAGCGGCCCGGGGAGCGTCGCGATCGGGAGCAGATGGCTGGCGCTTTCTGAAGCCTCCTCGTTTTCCTGCAGTGATCTTGATTAGGGTGAAGCCGTTTCTCTCGTCTGCGGTATATACCAGGAGGGAGAGAAGTCACAGCTGCGTCTGCTCGTCTCGAGCTCTCAGCAAAAACTCGATTCTGTTACCGTGTGGTTGTCGTTTCGTATACGGTTTTCGGGACTGGAGTTCAAACGATTTTTAACTTTCGATTTCCCCATTGGAAATTGAGTGCTTGACGCATCTTCTCATGGATAGTGAAATCGCTTTCATTTTTTGTTATCTACTCGTGGATCAATTCAAATCTATTCGCATTCTGTGTTCCTCACGATTCTTTATGGTCTCGTGATCTGCCATTTCTTTCAGTGTGTGCGTGCCATAGTTCTTTAGACTCCCGCGTTGCGATCGATTCTTCCATGGTCCCCGCATAGTACTGTTTTACTGAAGCAGCTATCGCGAGTCCAGTTAGTTTAACTTGCTCCTGGGGTCTGACGCATTCAGTCTTAACGAGGATAATGTACGCCTTTCGTAGGATTATTCAGAAGGGAGAATAATAAATTTCCGAGGCATAGTAGCCTGTACCTTGTAATTTTTCCCCATTCCGTCGACACCTGCTCAGCACGCAGCTGTCAAGGTTATAATGCATGTGTGGCCTATGTGCACGTCAGCTCGACATTCGCATATCCCTAAATGCCATGTTTCCTTCCTGGTGGAATCGTTTCCGTTGCCGTGGAGATGGCGTGCAGTAACCTCGTTCGCGTGAGTACGACGATCCGTGCGCGTCGTACACGCCGTTCTTCATCTCCAAGGTTAACTCGTGCCTCGGCGGTGAGTCAGAATGGCGAAATCGACCCATGGGGATACCCGAATCCGAGCTCCCTCTTTTAGCGTTGGGAAGTGGTTTGGTTTGGCATCGTGCAGATCAACACGAGAGGGAACCACTTCCACGAGAGGAAAAGGGGCGGAATATTTGCATGATGTTAACTGAGTCAGAGAACGCGTAAAGCAGAAACGAGAGAAACGGAGGTCGCTGCGGATGGATGCAGGTGCGGATACTGTATGGCCTGTGCGGATTGGCGGTGTGCTCTGGTAATCTCCAGTGTCGTGTTGCTAAACGAAGGGACGTAATATCGTCTGCTCTCATCGGACCGAGGATAACTGTCGTTGGCCACGTAAATTATCTCACTTTCCGGTCCAGGGGTTTATCTGGGTTTTCATTTTTTTCCTCTTTTTTTTTTTCCTCGGATTTTGCCATTTTTGCGGAAGCAACGGGAAGCAGGAAGAATGGATCCAGCTTCCGGTTCTTTCAGGCAGCACGAGGCGAGGAAATTCCCTGGTGAACTTCTCAGCCTTGGCCCTCGGGCGAAAGCGAAAAATATTCTTTCCCCTTTTATTCTATTGTCTTCACTCGGATATCATTCTCCGCTGACGTGACTGAATGCACGGAAGCATAATATATATGACTATTCGACGGGTTTTTAGGGAAGGATGCTCTCAAAGAGGGTGAGATAAGATAACCATACGTTGCCTCTTATTTATGGTCTTTATTGAAAGATGATCGCGCCTACCGTACTAGTACGCCATAACTGTGAATTCTTTCTGCCTTCCCCCGGCGAAGCGATGACCTCAACGGAGGAATCTCGAGTGAATGACTTGCTTCCAGCGGCGGATGCAGATATTATTCGGGGAGGGGGGGCGTTTCTGAAGTTCCTTTCCCCCCTCCCCCCGCCACCACCATTACCATTACCATTATCATTATCATATCATGATCATTACTTTTGCCATTAGCACTACTATCCCATCCTACCCTTTTTTTTTCCTTTGTTCATATTTTCATCCGATGTAAAAACGGGAGATTCTTTTCACAGGATGCAACCAAAAGAAATTCCATATATTTTTAAATATTTTAAATTGAATTACGAACCTGAGCAAAAGGTGGTGGGAGGAACGGCGGTCCCCCCCCCCGTATCCACCACTGCTTGCTCCGCTTCGTTTTTTTTTTCGTGGGACGTTCGCAAAAGAACCTAGACAATAGATCGAAAGCAAAAACTCGGAACATTAAGATGAACACGTGAATTGACATATTGTGCCACTGCATTTTGCTTAAATGAGAAAATGGCAAAATCCTCATATATGGCAACACTGTTGATGCACGTGCAGGGACTTTGGAGTGAGAACCATTTGTCACGCATGCATGCATGCGTGCGTGCTGATGCGACTGAGTCACAAGTACCCGGTACCCTGAACTCTCGGTCCTTTAGGCTCGACCCTGCATGGCTGGATCAGGCTTTCCAGCGTCGAATCTAGTGAAGGAAATGCTGAATGCGAAGGAAGAGTCACTCGAGTCGAGGGGTGGAAGGGAGAGGACTGTTGTCATGACAACCTGTCATCGAGACTGATCCTGAAAAAGAAAAAAACTTCCATCTGTCACTTCACCTTACCTTCCCTTCCCTTCCTGCGCCTTTGCCAACGTAAATTTGGCCACCCAGGCTAACCATTTTTGTACATCTGTTGGGTTCCGTGGTCTTGCGCCGGTTTCGCGGGTGTATTTCAGGTTCAAACATATTTTTACAATGTACTTTTTAAAATGCTGTATTTTAATTTTTTCATGAAAATTATTATACATTTAACCCCCGGGGTACGATATCATGTCCGATGTGAAAATGGGTTGCAGCTTTTAGCTTGTTTCATTTTTGCATTCCGGTCCAGACCTGTCCCAGGTTAAGAGGGATGAAGATAAACTTAATGACGGAGGCTTGCGAGGAGATATGAGGTCGTGGAACCGGTCTGTGTGGCGCAATCCTAAGGCATTGATTAATTTCTCCCCTCTGGTAATTATGTATTCTCGTCTCTACCTCCAGGTTTTGTCCGTCTCTTTCTTATCGAAAAGAAAGATATATAAAAAAAATAGAATGTCGGGGGAAAGTCCAAAGCTGGAGGATCTGCCCAAGGTGGACCCAAGCCTGAAGAGCGAATTGACGACGTTCGAATCGTCCCAGTTGAAGCATGCGGAAACGCAGGAGAAAGTCGTACTCCCGACCCAGGAAGGTGAGTATCTATGGCTCGGAGTGCCTATGCCTGGGTTTATTGCCCCGGCTGATTCTGCCTCTGTGCACACATGATATAGTGGAGTATTTTGCCGATTATCTCGGGGCAAACTTCCGCGAGGGGAGAGAGAGAGGAGAGAGCTAGCATCTAGCGATGTCGCAACTGCAACACTGCAGGGTTCTTGGATGCTTCACACGCATCCGATTGCGTCACCGCTCCTCAGCTTCGGCCATCTCTGTAGCCTGATTGCTTTCATCCTTCTGCTGTGATTACACAGCCCAAAACTTAATATGCTTCGTCACTGTGCGTTACTTGTGTAGCTTTGCAAAGGTAATTGTTTACTTCAGTTACTTACTCATTTGCTGAAACGTCTAATTTGCTGAGTGGAACCAGCAAGTGCCAGTAGGGCAAATAACTTAGAAAGGGACGATCGGAATCAGTCACAGGACTTGTTACGTGTGTATCCTCCGTTGTTTCTATTTTTCCTGTCCTTTAAGAGTATCTAGGGAAAACATGAGGTCCCAAGGAGTGCAATAAGAGGGGAAAGATACGAGAATATTTGTGGTCTAACCGCCATGGGATCGCTGATAGCAATTTACTATCAGCGATTGCTCGGGATATTCTGGCCAACACAGAATGCTGTCGACTACAGGGAAGGAAGAAAGGACTGGGATTCCGTCCATTCGAGACCCTCAGAGTCCCCACTAGATGTCTCTCCTGAGGACAGTTGGTCTTGACTGCGTTGGTATGCTCGTTAAAGAGAGAATGGACTACTCGAGGCAAATCCGTCTCCATCTCTGCCTCGGGTCTCGTTCTTCGAATTCAATTCTAAGGAGAATGGATTCGATTGAGTCGATACAGCGGTCAATGCGCCTAGGCTACTACAGTTATGATAATAGCGGTCCCGTTTGATCGCGGGGGCGGGCCAATACCGTTGTATGGCTGGGAAGAATTCTTGGAGGCGCCCCAGTTCGCTCGGGAAGAAGATCTTTTCCCGGTGAATCGAATCGGGTTAGCCTGAGGAGGTGCGAGACGCGGCCGCTGGTCAGTTCGCTTTCCTTTGTGGAATCGACCAGTCAAGACAGGACATGGCAGGTCTGGATTGTTTAAGTCCCCTCTCGTGCTCATACTGTCAAGGTTAGGTGTACTCAGGATTTAGATGTTTTCAGGTTTGCCTTTATTTGTTAGGTAGAAGTAAGTGTGCTGTGCATTCTACTTAATGTTCACCCAATTTCTGATTATTCTGGTATTTGCCATCGAAGGCCAGTGCAGGCACCAAAGCATCTTAAACTATTTTTTGAGGATCCCTTTGAAGTGTGAACACCACAATTCTTATGAACTGGTTGGTCTTGCAAATAATCTTGGTTCTCATAAAAAAGATTTAGTGTGGTCCCTTGGGATGAGGACATATATTCTTGCCCTTGAATGGGTGAAGAAGCTAAATACTTGGGATGGATTCTATGCCCATTTGCCCGTTTCTTGCAATTTTTTTCTAAGTTTGAAATTGCAGTTGTCAAATTTGTATCCCATGCATCTTGATCTGGAAGTGAAGACCTTATTCCTGGACTCGACATGAAGAAAAGCTTGCACACAGCCCACTTTCAAGTAAACTTGGAGCCAATTTGTCATATGTAGGTTTTGATATGTATGCTTTTACCATACCTTTTCCAGTTGTCACAACTTTTATCTATTATTCCAATTGTCGTTCTTCTGACTGAAGCCCCTAAATAAATAAGTTTTAAATTGCATTGGATCGTCACAAACTTTTTCCATGGGTTTCAGGAATTCACGAGTGGTGATGATGTTATCTGTTTCTGTTTGAAGATATCACACAAGAAAAGACGCATGATGCCGTGCTGAAAGGCGTGGAAGAGTTCGATAGACACCAGCTCAAACACCAAGTCCCGCAAGAAAAGAACCCTCTCCCCGACAAAGACGGTGAGCCTGGTTGCTTCCTGAGCGGTTTCTTTCCTTTGTTTGCCTGGTGGCATTAGAGATGTAATTGAGATACTTTAGAGATGTTCGATACATTACTTGGCTACCTTCTAGGAATTCACAAGGAGAAACTAATGGGATGGAGACGTCAATTGTGATATTCCTTGTCAAGGTCACATTTCTAGCAGTTGGGAGTCAGTTGAAAGAAAAGAAATCATTAAGATATGTCTGATATATATTTTTTTTTTTTTAGCATGGATTTCCTACTGAATAGATATGGGGAAAGTAGCCAGGTAACTATTGAGGAGTGGAATTTCATCATTGCTTCATTTACAATGTTATCACAGAAAGAATGGCCATCCACATACCTATTGTTATTTCATGGGAATATAAGAATCCGATCCAGAGTTGTTGCATTCTTTGTTCTTTCTACCCGAGTGAATGGTTCTCACTTATCAGTATGTTTCTCAGTGGCTGGAGTTGCTTGACGCAATTCCTCTCAAAAACTATATATAATTATTGTTCATAACAAGAGAGAAATGGCTTCTCAATGGCTTCTCAATGGAGTACTTGGCCATAATTTTTTCATTAGTTTGACTCACTTTGAAGAAGCAAAAATGAAAATTTCTTAATGCTCTTAAAACGCAGATGTTGAAACCATCACAGGGCATTATCAGTTGGGTTGTCATGTCTCTTCCCACTATCTGTTCCCAAGTTTAATTATGGATTTCAAATGTTTTTTGATTAAAATATAAATTACTGAGGCCAAAAAGCCCAAAGAACTTCCAAAATGTTTTAGGCACCTTCAGAGAACTTTCCATTGGATGAATATTTTCCTTGATATTCATTTCTAGTGATTGAACAAGAAAGAGGGCAGGTCAAGCTGATGGAAGGGATTGAAGGCTTTGACCCAGCACAACTGAAGCATGCAGAAACACAGGAGAAGAATCCTCTTCCAACCAAGGAAGGTGAGTTGTTGTAAAAGTCTCCTGAAAGGTCTCTGAACAGCTTGATGAAGAAGTTTACTATCTTTCATATTGTTTCTGTCCTTTTGTTCTTCTTTACCTTTTTTTTTTTCAAATATTGAAGTGATGTGTAAATGCTGTAATATCAATTCAATTTTCTGTTAAATTTAGAAGCTGTGCTTTAGAGAGTCTCTTGTGAGGGAGTCACAACATATCAATTCAGATCAGACATGCATAGGTTTATCTCTTAACTGAGATGAACCATATTTCAACACTCTCTATTCACAAGTATTATGAAGGGGGTATTGCACCTCTTCACTCAGGAAATTGTTTCCTGATAAGGAATCATGATGAGTTTGCCCTATGTTGTTTGCCAGAAATGAGTTAGCAGAACCTGCTTTCAATGAGGCTGAGTCATACCTTGTCTTGCATTTTGTTAGTGGCATGCCCAAAAAATGGGGGAAATGCCATTGAAGTTCTGTTGATGCTCATCTGCATAGCTTTGTATTCATCACATTTTTGTGGTGGACACCATCCATTTCAGGCCAATAGTTTTCTCTTTTTGGGCCAGGATCTCTCTTGTAACATATCAGTATCATTGTAGCATAGAGTATGAAGTGGTGCTATAATAAAAAAAAATATGCAGAGTGGCAGAAAATCTAAAAGAAAGGACTTGAGAAGAAATGACAGTGAATATGGCGAGTACTTTCGATGAGACATCTGTGATACTTTGACCTAGATATTGAAGAAGTGGGATCAAGACTTGGGTGAACTACATCTACAACTCAGATATGAAAAAGTGAGACTTGGATAACTTGGATACTTGTAATTTTGGATTGAAACCACCTGTATAGGTGACCATTTTATTTTTTTCATACCAGTGATAGAGAAGGTAGATTAATATTAAGTGGACCTATAACAATAGGTAGTCAGAAACAGGTCAATTGATTTGGTGCATTAGTTTTAGATTTCTCCATTATATTAATCAGGAATATGTTACTGTTGGCAAATTATATTGGATGTATTTGTTATTAAATAGCCTAATATAATTGGCATTTAATGAACTTGTAAGATTTTGGATGTCATTTTATTTCTCCCAATGACAATACTTTTGAATTTTATTTCCTGATAACAGTTGATGAGAACAGATTCTTGGGGCAGGTGAAATAAAATATACTGAAGATCAGTAGTACCCTGGTTGCTGAAGGCACTAAAATTACCTGGAAAGTAATGGGTGACCACTGGGTGACATTTTGAACCAGTATGTCCCACTTAGGACTGTCACTTGCAAGTGTCTGTAGTTTTTGTCCTATGAGTGAATGCAAAAGTAACATTAAACCTTTATATGAATGGGGAAATGTAAAGAGTATAAACGGATCTCAGCTGCTAAATGCCACCACTGTTCTGAGGAATTGATAGGGTGGATTTTACAAGGTGTTCCATTTGTTGGTGATATGTTCTGAGTACGTGAAGGGGCTAGTTAGCAGTGGTCTTTTATCAATTAGAGGGACAGAAGATTCAGGCAATGTGTCTGAATAGTGATGTAGAAGTATCATGATTATATAATAATCATGTGCATTTGAAAGTTTATGGAAGCTGCAGATCTTTGTAGTTCTTGCATTGGGTGCTGCAAAGTCAAGGTTTATGAGGTCAAGTGAAGTCATTCACTTATATTGATTATAAGACATGCAAGAGTTTTCTTGAAATGGTGGACCAGGTTTCTAAGCTATGTTTCTCCCATTGGTTGGTTAGTTGTGAGAGGGCTTCCTCAAGACCCTATGGTTAACTCATACATTCTTAATAATTTGAAATTATTAGTGTCCTGCACATGCTCTAGCAGCCAAAGGAGGGTGTTAGTATTGGTATGGATCTTGAGCTTTGCCAGCCTAGTAGGGTTGCGGGACAATAGCATAAGACTGGCATATAATAGTAATATAGGTCAAGGTTTCAATGGAGGAGTTTCTCGCCTCTCCTGATTGAGGGGATAAAGCCTGCTGTTTTAATCAAGGATACATATTATGGCTTTCTGTCCACCCCCTACCTAATGGAGGTGGTGAAGATAAATCAGGATCAAGAGCATGCAAATCCTGATCTTCATCCACCCTTCTGACAGCACTTTGCATTGCAGGGAGCATATTAGTAATTTAATCGGGATGTTTTATATCTACAGCCTTGCCAAATATAAGGGTGTGAATACCTTGCAGACTGCATACCAATGAGAATGAGATGCTGAAAGGCCCCCTGCTTGTCCTTCAGGAGGCATTTGTGAAATATAGTCTCTTTATTTATATTCTAAATTGAAATCAAGGATGGGTTGGTTATGGTGGATGAAGAGCATATGATTGGTCACCTTCTAAGGGCATCAGCCAGTTTCATCATTGGTTAGTCCTTGCAGTTATTGGCTGACATACCTACGATAGGTTGAGTTTCAGCAGCTTCCTCCAAATTTATGATGGACTGATATGGAATTGGCTATACATTATTTGCTATTTTGCAATTTCTGTACCAGTCCATTACTGATACATATGACAATGTTGCATATCATTAATATTTATGGTGAATGCCTCTTGAACTTGTTTGTCATTTATTTTTAAAGTCTACTTTTGTATTCACAAATTGAAGCTAGAAGTAGTGAGAGAATGAATCATTTAGTGGTTTGCCCTTGTTGATTTTATTCCTACATTTGAGAGTGGTGAATAGTTTATTTAATATAGTTGCCAGCGACTTTGAAGTTGCAAATAAGATGTAATGCATGTTACTTTTATATCTCTGTTTCAGACATTGAGCAAGAGAAGAAGGCGTGAAAGCATGTGCATGCGGCTGAAGGTGCCATGAGCTTCCATCCATGTTCTTCGTATCTTTTGTCTCTTATATTATATTCTGCTCCAATTTTTTTTTCCCTTGTACATGGATTTATTAATTCACAAGCCAACAGAGCACAACTCCAACTTCATCCTGCATTTATAGCTTCATCTGCAAGCTTGTGTGTTCTTTCAATGTGGCCTTATTCCTTTTGCCTTCAGGAACAGAAGATACATGCATTGCGAAGTGATTTCTTCAACGTCGATCCACAAAATTTGGTTTATTATTTTTCTTTGAAAGAATGAACGCCAGATGATTTCAGGCTATTTGCTTTTCATTCGTTTGTGGTCTCAATTACAGGATTACACCGTTTTATTTAGAGACTGTCGTTATTGAGAATTGTTCAGTTGCTGTAGATTCTGATTTTTCAGTTTAATGAGATATTGACCACGAGCCGGGGGGGCCTCTGCGCCGTACCATCCCTATGGAGAGGTTACAATCATTTGTGCGGTTCTAATTTTTTCCTATATGCCCTGGTTCACGGTCACACGAGGCAACAGAACAGACGTGACACTAATTACACTGCAGGTGACTCATAAAACCCTCGTGCATGCATCGATTCGCACGCAGCAGTAACACTGCAGTTGCGATGACAGCGGCTGTGTCGTTCGAGATCGCACGCCTTGCTCCGTGGCTCACCCGAAAGCTACTATCGCTCGAAAACAAGCGAGCGCGCGAAGCTCTGTGACTGCTGCGGATTGTCAAGAATCCCTCTGTTCGAAGACTGACAGCCCTGGCCTGGGTCATTGTCTAATTGCCAATGATGAAGGAGGGGTGAGGACGCCTTCAGCTCTTCGAGGTTAGACTCGTGCTCGGTAGGCGCTGAGAATCAATACAGGCGGAAATTTCAAGAACGAACAGCGGCCCGCAGGCCGTATGCTTGACATCACTGACGTAGAATAAGCGTGAAGCATCTGACCAACAGCGTATTTTAGTTGACGAGACAATGGAGGTATAAAACGAAAAGGTGCGCCAAGGAGCACGTTATAGTTCACTCCTTAACCTCCTCGGGCTAAGGAAAAAATTAATTTCGTAGGATTAGGCACGTATACATGCCACCCTGGTCTTAGGAGGCTAATCAAAAGAACTAGGCTTCATCAAGGTTCTTTTTTATGTGGAAGTCGCTGTGTGAAGTGTTTGTCAGGCCACTCTTCACGCTGACACCGGCGAATTTTGTCTCCCCCATCTATCATCCTGTTTATGGTATGGCGTGAAGGGGGCCACAAAGGGGTCATAAAATGTTATCTCCATATTATCTCCTGAGAAGCTTTCCAGAGGTGCCTCCCAGATCCAAAATTAACCAAAAGAACAGGAAACGCAAGCTGACTTCGATAAGAAGCAGGGCCTCCCCCCACCCGAAAGCACGAAAGTGACTTGTGGATCCCGAGAGGCGTGCCAACGTGGAAAATCATTAAGGACCCAGATGTTTTCATCACCCCAACCTCATAGGCTTGACATCTTGCTTGCGGAACCGCTAAGGAAAAATGAAAAGAAAGTATTTTTCACCATCTTGATGACAGCATCCATTAGCGTGATTGTTCCTCCGAGTGTCGGCCTAAAAAGTACATAACAGACAAGGCGTCCCAAAAAAGTTCACCCTTTTTTTTTAATTTATTGGTTACATCCGAACTAATTTCGAATGCACATATATAAGAAACATATAAGAATACGGATATGTGATGGGCTTGAAATATGCCCGAGGGCATGGACCAACTTTAAAAGGGGTCCGAAGCCGCACTGAAAGGGGGATTCCACGCCAGACAGCCACAAGGACCAGTTGCGTCGGGATTCCACGCCAGACAGCGACAAGGACAGTTGTGTCGGAGGATCCCAGACAGGGCGTACCTCCAGAAGACTAACGCGCCTTCCAAGACAAGCCTTCCCTTCGTGAGGAATCCTTCCTTGTTGTTAAACACTAAGGCCGTGGAAAAGATAGATCGAGACCGCCTGGGTCCGAATCGCCCGCTACCACTGACATCCCCTAACCTTATTGCACAGGGATCGGTCTCATATAAGAATAATAAGTTGCCAGCCTCCGAAGAGAAACAGTAACCGCACACACCGAACCTGTGACAGATATATAAGAAATCTCTTCCTTAACCCTTTCAGACCTGGCGTCCATTCCAATGGACATTGCATTTGCATTGTGTCTATGGCAATTTCTTAGGATTCCCGTGACTTTGCGCTCCATATTACGCTACAATGGGCGCAATTATGCATGACTCAGTTCTATCAGAGGCCTTCTTTCACCCATTAGTTTTGTAATCTTCAGTTATTTAATTAAATGTTTAATATATAATATATGGTATGATATGGTCAATTTATACAACATATGAAAACAGCATATAAAGCATGAAAATTTCAATTACAATCAAGAAAAAGCTCAAAAATGGAAAAAATGGTATTATTCCGATGGTGGCCTTAATTCAGGTCTGAAAGGGTTAACCAAGCTTAACTTTGAATTGGGAGACAAAAGTTGCATATCGTTGCCTTGGAGAGACAGCAAATGGTAAATAAAAAAATTTCAATGGGCTCGATCCAATCTGTGCACGAGGTCAAGAGTTCCAGGCTAAAGATACAGTTTTATGGGATGAATGAGCTGCAGCTCTGCCATCTAGCGTTTACTTGAACCAACAAGGTTTCCACGAGAGAAGATTGGTGGCAGACGAATCGCCGGTGAGCGCAACAACTGCTCAAGGAAGATCTCGCCTGAGCTTCGCGGAAATGAAAAAGTGTTTTCTGCCAGGTGGAGGTGATATTTCGCCAAAAACTTCGTAGTTAGTACCTGTATTTGTTAGTACCTGTATTTCCATTCTTAAACCGATCTTCAGACTCGTGGAGCGCGCGGTGCCATAATGTAGGCTACCGTGTCGTATAGGATAGCGAAATGTTTCGTCGCTTCGTTCCGTGCGATGTTTGTTCTGTGTTGTTAGTTCTATGTACGCTGTTCTACTTCACCATAATTAGAAATCGAAAAATGGTGAATTGCAAATATTAATAGGTTTTCGACCAACAATGATAATGCAATGAATGCAATTTACATTCAACTTCTAGCATCCGGCAAGGGCCGGGCCCTGGGTGCAGTTCTCGAGGCTACTCAACCATAAAGTAAATAAATTATATAATAAATAATAATATCTGCACATGAATCAGATTCTGAAAGTTTTCTGAAATGCTAGAAAAATTTTACCCGTTGGAAAATGCATCTCCTCCAAATTCTAGAGTTGGGCAAAATTCCAACTCTCAATTTCGAATTTCAGATTTTTCTGGGATTTTTTTTTTGGTGCCGAGGAATAAGATGAGAGCTCGTGTGGTAAGCTTGTGTGGGTATGTGCATAAGTTAAATATAGAACTTACATAATTTGAAATTACCGTTGACTCCGCGTATTGGAATACTCACGGGACCGGCGAACTTTATTTTATCTAATGACCGAAACTATCTGCTGTATTGAGCCGCAAATCGGGACCTGCAATGGTATCCATCAAGCGGATTATTTCACTAAGCGGTATTCCATAATGCGGAGTCGAATGTACTTTCCTTTCACTCCGGTTTGCCCAGACAATCTGCATCTAGTTTAGGAAGCTGGAGGAGGGGGAGGGGGAGGGTGTGGTAGTGGCGTCTTCTGTCTTCAAATAAAAGCCTGCAGATGAAATTCGCCATCCCTCTCACCCTCCCCCCCCTCACTCTTCACCACTGGCCTTGGCAGCCGCCTCTCTGCCCCACCCACCCCTCGGCTCGTGAACCAAGACACGCCATTTGAAGTTGGGACTACAACTCTAAAAAACACAGTCTCTGAGCCTACTTCCTTCCCCTTCCAAGTTTTCCAACAGTACTCAAGCTATTCCTCCCTTTAACTCGCAGCATGGGGCCCTGTCCATTTTCAGCATCCAACTCATTTTTAATAATTGTTCATCGGCTTGCTTTCCCTTACAGGAACTCCATATTCAGATTTCATGCGCGATATCAAATATGACCATACAGGGGTGCTTTGCTCGGAATGTACATGGTACAAATAAAAATTATATATGGGAGACTGTATTTGTATTTGGAAGCCGTCCAGTTCATATCTGATTGGAAAGAAAGTTCTCGGAATTTCATGAACAATTATTACAACCCAGTTTATTTAAA